TATTATTGAGATGTCTAACCTGCGAACAGTGAACCACTGTTGCCATGAATTAAAATCCGAATGTCATTTAAAATGTCTGTTGCCGTTTCAATCTATATTCTCCGGTTGATAATCTAACGAATGAAAATACAACGCATGGGCGCCCTGTTTTAGCGCACAGCAAAAACTAACCGACTTTCTGCGACCCAGACTTCGGCACTGTTATTGATTCGCATATTTTCGCCTACAACTTTTGAGGCGTAGCCTCAAGTCCCAATGGTTTACTTCGTGTATTCAGTGTCCAGATGTTTCTCATAACCCTATTTTCAAATCCCTACTGTACGATAACAGCTAAACGAGGTTATTCGCGACCATGTAGATTCTGAGTTGCAACGACTTATCTGCTGTGTTTGTAGTTGACTTGAGTCAGCTTACCGATCAGGAATCATTCGTTTTCGGTAAATATTTGCAAGGATACATTTTACGGATGTTGTTCACAACTTTAAGACATAAATAAAAATACCTTTCGCCTTTTCACTTCATAGATGACATCTTCTTTCTCCCAAAAACCGCATCTTCGCGATTGCGTGATAATGAGAAATTGGATTTACATGCTATTCTTATTCAGAAGTAGGTAAAGCGTAGTGACAATTATTTGATTTTATGTGTTATTACGATCGGACAAATCCAGGTATCCAGCAGTCTTACGGTAGACAGCACATACTGTCACTTTAACAGTTTTCCCATTTCCCATATATGCGTTGTAAGTTCAAGGTGGCTTGGATACTACCAGCCGTTATCGTGTGAAACCAGGTCATTTACAGCTAGTACACTAGAAAAAAGTGGACTCATTGCGACATAAGGAGAAAAATCGAAGTAATGACAATAGGTTGACTGTGTGTCAGCTTTACCGCCTGAATCTGCACACACGGAACATGACTCATGAGGGATGGCGACGTAAACTGCGGTTACCAGTCTTATACACCTAAAAGGTTGCACATTTTATTTTTTGCTTAGTGCCTTCCAAAAATGTTATCTATGCATATAAGATAAGTTCCAACTTATGTTGACAATCGAAATTTCCAAACCTTTGGGCGGAAGTCGACGTTACATTATATTCTGGCAATTTCCTATGCTTATAGCTGTCCTAGTCTAGGGTTCCACATCCGTTTGTATTATTATCTGGAAAAAGATAAATTCTAATTCGTCTCTTTTTACCAAGGAAAAGTCGCACTACTTTAACATTGCTCTGTTTGCGCAATTTAGATGAAGAAAGGTGTAATAAAGTACGTGCTTTTTGAAAAGCGCATGCTTTCTTCATTATAACGGTTGCATTTGCCGGTCTGTGTGCTTCTATGCTCTGAAAACCAATAACAGCGCCTACATGCAATCTTTTGCTTAAACGAATCAATATTGTTTGCTGTTTGCCGATATTTCATCAGCAACCGCGAAAGGCACGTTGACTTATAAGAACGCAGAAAGATACTTTTTTCATAGTCCAGTTTCTGTTAATAAGTAATTAAGAAATAACACGGACCGCAAACCAGCAGTTCTAGCAACGTCTCAGTATTTAAATGGTCAATCTATTGAGCACTTGGGACTGTAGAACGGTGTCTAAAAGCAAGAAAATAGTACGAAAATGGCCTCTAATTAAAAAGAAAAGCGAGTTCTTTCGCTTGCAGCGGAAAAATTGCCAGTATGCTTCAGGGGGAAAAATGGCCAAAGGTGTCATTTTGTTCCTCGACTCTACCTTGAAAAGTGCAAAATATTTATTACAGAACTTTTGAAGAATGTCACTTAACAGAGAAATTTTTTTAATGGTTTGAAAACATATTGATTTTCGACTTTTGTTGCGGACGTTCACTATCCTTGGCGACGAAGCCTCATGTTTGGGTGACTAAACAAATATGCACCAAAAGACTCTCTGCAAAAATACAAATATCTATAAAGTCCCCATCTTGGCAAACATTTTTAAAAAATACCTTATTCTAAAGATTTTGATAAGGACATCACAGAAACTACCTACATGAACAGTCGATAAGAATGCGAAAAATCGCATAGTTTTTGCTGATATTTAAGAGACACTCTGGAACTCAACGTACTCCACTGTCTTAAAAAACTGTGTGATGATTTTCCATGCAAAACGTTTACTCGCTACACTCAAAATGGTATGTTTATGGCTTTTACTTTTGATTTTATTCAAATTTATTGGTCACTGGTCAGGACTTCAACGTGTGACCTTATGAAAACTTTATTCTCGTGAAGTCGCAATCAGAAAAACTGTCCTTGGCTTTAGTTCACCGCAGCTCAAACAATGCAAAACAGAGATAAATCGCGGCAAATTCTCGTGAAAACTTGTTGCAATCTTAACTTTGACTCTAGAGTATTGGCTAAGCGCCATACATGGTGTTACGCTAATTCGTGGAAGATGCTAAAGCAAAAACATCAGAAGGGACTATTTTCGAACGTTTTTCTTAATATACTGTTTTATTCACTTAGCCACTTTGCCTGAACATCATTTACGTACTGCTTAAACCTATGTTTACTCATTTGCGATGATTCTGGAAGTGTTTGAATCTTTCCGACACTTCTGAAACCGATTTAAAATCAATATTTCCAAATAACGTTGCATTACCTTTAATAGTTCTTTAGGGTTTACATTATCACTTTGAAATTTCCGTCCACTTATTTGGCCCAGTTTGCGAGTCACCAGATAGGTTTCGTAAATTTATCCGCTTTTAATGAGATAGAGCACGTATTGTAGGTGTTGCTTACCTGACTTCCTTTATCACCTGGCTAACCCGCATAATTGACGTTTACTCCATTGACAGTGTGACCAACCTTTCTAGGGTTTTATGTTTTTGGCATTATATGAAGCTTAATTTGCTCATACCAGGCTCATAACGGCATTAGTGCAGTATGCACACCGGGTCAGCCGCCCAGATGTGTTTTTTCGAACGCGAATGTACAAATGTAAAGGGAGATAAAGTAGTACTGTGGCAAGTTTATTTCGTTATGGCCATGGTCGAGGGCTGGAGGTGACCGACTCATGTCGGGGACCAGACAAAAAATATACGTTCTTGTTTTCCTATGTTTTATCGGCTACACGTCCTGAAAACCGGTTGTTCGACTGTATACGATGACTCGCGAAACCCAAAAAATAATTAAAGTGTAAATTGGATAATTTGGTTTTTGTGTACTAGTCAAGATAGATCGGTGCACGTCACTTCAATTTAACTAGATATGCACGATCGCTTATAGCAGGTGCGCTGGAGGTTTAAGCTAAAGATCATCCCATTCAAGTGCTCGCTGACAAACTTACCGTGGTATGAGTCCGATGTCGTTCGGAACAAGTGATGAGCAATCCTTTGGTGAAAGCAGACTGGCCAGAAGTGTTTATTCCAGTCTCGCTTTTAAGCAACACTACTAGATTACATCTATCTGCATCGGCCAACAGCTGTCATGTTTCGCACCCCAGGTTCTAATTACATATTCGCAAGTAGTATAAAGACCAGTTATACTTCTAAGACAGAGTTTAGGTTCGCAGTGCAGGTGCTATCAACAACAGCGTTTGATATTTATTTCCTATTTGATGTGTGGACTGGATTTCTAATGCATGCGAACTACATAATTAGACTTCATATGGCATTATTTCTTGAAGCAGCTTTCGAAATTGGGACCCAACTAGCGTTGGCGAACTGGTGCTCTGTCGACATAACCGGGCGAGTTAAGCCTCCGAGTCTTAATTTATTCTTTCACTTCCCTGTCAACGGTAGTCGACGCATGAACAACCAGCCTTAACTATGTCCCGGGCAAAAGGTGACGTCACAATACATATTTTCTGGCTCTTCAGCTAATCAAAATAACTTATGCATATGTTTTGCGTAAGACATCCCTGCTGAGAATTTCTTTTTTCATCAGTGGACGTCCTCAAAACACGGTTTACTCTCTGATGTGGCTGTGCTTTTAATACGTTGTAACCAACACAATAACCATCACAACCGACTGAAGCACGTACTAGGGCAGTTCGAATTTAAAAGTATGCTTAAGTAGAAATTGGTTTTCGAGAGTAATAATTTATTGTATCCCATATGAACCTGTGACCCATCTACCACTTTCTGCTTACCGCAAAATTGTTAACTGCTTGTGCATCAGTTATGACTATGGCACTAAAGGTTTGTGAATATCAATCCTCTGATGGCGTCATTCAACTGATGGAACTACAAAATATCTTTATTTAACCTGAGTCTAATCGGAAATCAAAAACTCTGGAGTTCAGGAACGCACACGTTCTTCTGCTCTGTTCGTTTCACTAAGTTTGGGTTTATAAGCTTATCCATCTTTACCCCATAATTTGGCCGCTTACATGTTTGCGACGTGCCGCAGAACTGTACAATGGCAAGGAAAGTATTTAAAAGCTCAAACAATTTTTTTATTTGCTGATTGCAGAATCCGAGGCATCCACTCAGTCAGCAAACACTACGAGTGGTATTTAAGGTTGTGGTGTTACACTCGTAAGCTTTCGTAGTACACACTCCCTGCCGTCGATCGAAACCTCCTTCATGTCATTTTGTCTGATAACGAGCTGATCTCCCCACTTCGAAAATGAAATAGGAGAGCTCTGATTTCGGAAAGTCATCGCTTTCTTCAGTATATGCATGAAATGCACACAACGCATATGTTAAACTGAAAATTTCTTCTTACCACGGCTCTAGAGGTTTGGGACATCGCATACTAAGTGGCTATAGTATTCAAAGGAGCTACGCTTGCATTAGCGAACATGAGTTTTCGACTTCCGGACGGCAACTTAACGGGATAGATAACAGGACATTTGACGTGGACGTTTCCCGCTATATTTCGCAAAAATGCTCTGCATATGAATTTCCACGCAAGCTTCTAGCTCTCGTGACCCTCAGCATCCGAAATATAATTCTCTCTTAGTGCACCCACCTTTGTCCTCATGTGTTAAAACATTCAAAACAAGGTCCAAGTGTTGAATACAAATGTAAGTGTTAAAACGGCTAGGACGACGGACTAGGTGAAAACTCACTAAGATGCTTGAACGTTGGGGGAACTTGATGCAGCCCATACATTCTGAATGCGGTCTCTAAAGAAGTTGACTCCGTCGAAGAAAGTGACTCGGAGGATGATGAGGCGGAAGATGAGAAGGAAGTGGTGACGGAACTCAAATCACTAGATTCACAGCAGGAACAGTAGGAGTTGGTTGGGGAGCTGGAGGAGGAGGAAGAGTCAATCGAAGCGCGCACAGAGATGTTAGTTGCCCCCGCCGCCCTGCCACGAGCATCTCCACCAACATCGAAGGTGACCCGTCTCGTGTGTTTAGGTGTCCGTTTCATTTTTTGTCCCGTCGCTAGGCAGGGTTTGGGCGATGAGTAATTCCACTTAGCATCAGCTGTAGAATTGTGTCTGCGTGAAGATTGTCCCCGTTTTTTCCTCTGCACCATGGTGGCTGTGGCGGAGAAAACGGACACGGACATGGACTCGCAAAGGGGAGCGCGAGTAAACAATTGCTGGAGGGTCTTGTTGTTTGAATCCACCGCGTTTTCGACAGCAAGTGAACTAGACGTCTGGCTCGTGGTGGGGCCTTTGTGTTGCTGTCGCGGAAGCGGCGCAGAGATTCCTAAGTGGGTGTGACCGGCAACTGTGACAGAACTCTGATTGGCTGACCGAACCAGCTTAGTCTCTTGTCTTTGTGTATCCGCGTGACTGACGAGGAGACTGGTGGCCGTCGGCTGGAGATACTCGATTTGATTCCTACCCTTCTGGTCAGACAACGGGATCTGGCACACATAAAAATGCATTTCGGTACATGATGCTGTGGTTTGCAGGGAATTGTGGACACATCTGGTAGGAGAAAACAACCACACAAATCCTATAATTTGTTACCGTCCGTGACTACTGGCTTCTTAATCAGAACCCTTAACTGCAACTTACGGGCTCCAGTAGGAAATTCTCTCCGAAAAGCAAATTTGCCTAAATAACACAATGGCAAGGTAGAGTAGGAGGACTTTGACAGCTCTCTGTTTAGATCCTCACAGACGACAACATATCAACAAGTAACATGTTGATGCAAGTGAGGCTGAACAGGGTTAGAATAGGCAGAATATAATTTCTTAGATTGTTTGACGTTGTCCACCAAAGAGGTAACCCCTGATCCGTTTATTTGAGAAGGACTGCACAGGGAACACTGTGACTGCTCACTCTTCATAATTGATCTGGTTTGGAGAGAATTATTAATGCAACCCTTGTACATTCATTAACCTTATCCGGTGTTGTTGATGATTGGCTCGAGAGTGAACCTGAAATATTAGGAGAGTGAAATTCTTGCTCAAGTGAACGCGCTTCCTTCTTTCAACTGTTTCCTGGAACTCGTGTCTTCGCTTGTACCGACTGCAGTATAACGCTTCTGACTAAAGCCGTGTCATTTAAACACACAGTCCTTAGTTCCTGAAAGGTTTGCCTACTAAAATCCAATCAGTGTTTGAATAGCTGTAAATGCTCAGTTCAAACGCTTATTTACATTTAAGTTACCTATTTTACAGTTATTTGTAACCGTTGATGAGTTAAAAACAATGTTTAGGCAGAAGGTGCATTAACGTCTGTTGAGTCCCGATCCCGGTCATTCAAACAACGTTTTGTCCCAAACACAGTATATCGCACATGCGAACGGTCACACAATTTATCGGATTCGTTGATTTTCGTAAAATTCCGCATCAAACGTACGCAAGCCCAATTAATGAGCGTTTAACGACGGGAAAATCTCTAGATTTTTATGTCATATGTAGGTAGGCTTTTCAAAGTCTGTTTCCGCATTTATTGAGGAAGAGGATGGTACTTATAAGTAAGTCCAACTACATGAAATAAATTTAGCTTAGGAAGGCTGTCGAATAGGGTAATAAGCTGTTAGACTATGAAATGGGGGCAGCCCCTGTGTTCTCCTGGTACACAAAATTTCCAAGCTTCAAAATATCAGGTAGCAAAAGCTAAAGTCAAGTTCATTTTTATCGCTCAGAGTTGTATGCCTATTTTCCTGGGCGTTCTTAGCACGCTGAAGTTATCTGACTCAACATTATTATGGATTCACGGAGGAACTGAAAACAATTTTTCCCCTTGCGGGCTCATATATGGCTTTTATTCTAACCTTTCTACCAGACTCAAAAGTTTGATTACTCTTTGGGCAGTTAGATACAAGGGTTCCACTTGTAAAGATGTGTAGCGCGTTCTCTTATGAAACTGAAGTAAAAGGATGGAGGACAGGACATAAATGATTTATTTTTTTCATTCAAAGACAAATTTGTCTTCCAGTCTACATTTAACTTAGTCAGCATGAGACGCATAAGAATATACTCAGACCTCTTAACGCTGCACGCAAATCAGCATATAAAAGTCGCCAGTACTACAGCATATTGGTGATGCTAAGCAACCTACTCTCCAGAAATACTCCTTTGTATGATGGCTTAATCATATAGATGACAAAATCAGTGGTTTCTCGATAAAAGATGCCCAGACGATGCCAGCGACATAACAGCAGGATAAAAAGACTGGAAAGAATGTGCAGTCATGCGAATAAAATGTGTTGCCGGATCATGCTGATGTTTTGATATGCCAAAAATGGAGAAGATATAAACAAGGAAGTAAGACAGCGTAAATAAGTTTGAAACAAACGCGGGCCAACGTGCGAGAAGATCGAGGGTTCTAGACCGAGACAAATCCGACGAAAGTAAGAGAGAGAGAGAGGGAGAACAAAGTGAGTCACGGGACGGATGCGAAAGTGAAGGAAGGAGCACGAAAAAAGACTATTGCCATCGGTAAATTTCCGGCGAAAAGCGAAAGAGAAAGTAGAAAGGAAGCTGAGTTGAAGGTGCGAGGTGCATAATGAACACATGGAAATTATTAAAATAAACGAAAGGTGGGCGTAGGGTAAAAAGAAGGGGAGAGATAGAGGTTATAATGAAGGGGCTCAGTGCTACATCACCTGTCAGCAGGGGCTAAACTGACTTTCACTTTGCCAAATGCGGGTATTCTTGGTCTTAGCCAAAATGTCGGGTCGAGCAAATGGTCTATAGTATTTGACGTTGTCAAACTTTTCCTTTTCGTACGTGCGTATTAAGTTCACGGCAGACGGAATACTGCGAAACGCTGGGAAAGGCCTCCCGCGTTAGTATGCTCGGATATTAGACAAGTGTTGCTGATAAAAGAGCTAAATCGTGATGACTACTTTTGGCATATCTGAGGTAGCTGCCCAGGCAGGCCCTAACGTTAGGAGGTTACTTGATATTAAAATCCCAGTCAGCTGGCCCTCGGGTATTCTGATGCCAAATACTTCGCTGGTTAGACCACGAAGTCCCACCTCGGCGGCTGTGGTAGGATACATTTAAGACCACAATGCAGTGGATGGCAGGGTTTCATCCTGGCTACAGGATAGTTGCTAGAATTTATTATTCATTTTTCCAAGGTCAACATCTCTATGGATTTGCTGTCTGTTTACTCGGTCGCCTGCATACCACTTAGGTTCACCACGCTGTTTATTTCATCGTTCTTACATACTGATTGAGAGGGGAAAGTATTTGGATCCTCAAAAATTGAAATATAGCAGCTTCCGTTGGAAGGGGAATATATTGTGGTGCGAAAACGTAAGAGCATAAAGAAGAAGCGAAAAATCAGCATGGGCATCAAACAGTGCATGGTTAGTTTAGAAAAGCTTGTTTATTATGAGAGACGTGGACGAAATGCAGAGCTATGCCAACAGCTCCATGGATCATTCGAATATTCGTTACCTTCCCAAGCGAATTTTCCCGTAGGATAAAGAAACTGAAAATGCAATAAAGAAGATTTTGCGTATATGTTGGAATAGATTGAAATATCCACGAATCAACCCTGATCCTCAGGCAAGGTTCTTGGAATAGAAAACGAAAGAACCATGCGGCATGCCAAAACCGATTTTAGCTGAAACGCAGAATTCACTGAAAATGCTTCTTGCTTTGTCTGAAAGTACAAAAACACTACTAATGGAAGACAAGTATTGTTATGTGTGGTTAGAGCCGGTTTGCTGAGGCTGACAAATTCTAGCTCTCGGGAGAACAACTAGTAAACCGAATGAAAGAAATCATAATCCTAATGTTTTTATTACGCGTTTACCTCTGTCGTGAATTTATTCTAAAGTCTCAACGGATTATAAGAAGCGTTCAGTGCAAAAGTTGGGTTAATAAATTGAGGGGTAAAAACTGATGACATGGGAATTTATTTTGTGGCATTACTTCCTGTAGTATACACCAAAGATCATACTTAGATAAAATAACAGTCAGATTAATAAGCGTTCAATCCTACATCTGAGTAAATAATTGGCACACAGATGAGTTACGACTTAAGTGATGAGTTTCATGCGACAATAAACAAACTTGTCAAAAGCGCTAAGAATTATAAAATGCACACAGTCCCATGAACACTCTCGGTAAATTGGCGTGGCGGTTATTTCGGCGATAGTTCTTCACATGAAGGACGTAAACTCGCCTCAGACTACTAATATTCCTCAAACAGCGGTAATTCTTTACATGGTTTTAGAGCTTGCATTAAAGATTTTTTCGGAGTAAATTACGGTGATAGTTTAGTACACTCAAATTAGTATGACTGATATCCCTCACAAGGAACATGTAGATAAGAGAAGTAGAATACACTCAAACTCAATTTTAAAAGCATTCGAACAATGAACTCTTTCAAACCAAACCTTTTACCACTTTCAACAAAGTGGGGAAAAGTCGAAATATTATCTTAAAGGAATTTCAAACTTTTCCAACTTGTATCAGACTCCTACTCAGCAATACAGAATGCTTTGGTAGTCCTTTATCGAGAACCGTGTATGATCATTTGCCTGAGAGGGTTAAAAAATAACAAAATAAGTGTCAATCTTGAAGGCAGATAGAAAAGTTCAGAGATTTTAGAGGGAGTTAGGTGACGCTTTCAGGTGCTGATTTTTGGACCTACTCAAGCTCTCGAAATATAAATATTATTGAATCGAAGGCATGCTATGATAAGGATAATTGCCCATTGCAAACAACCTCAACGTAGTAGACATGCAAAGTACGTCATTAAACTGCTTTCTCCTTGTTGACACTGTCCCAAAACTTCAAGATGAAAGCAACTGTGACGGCAAATATAGATTGGTTTGCGAGGTTTTAGATTTTGCTGCATTAAAGCCCAGTTCACTCGCTATAGTATATTTCCGAGCTAGTTTCTGGTCCGTAGGTAATGCTTATTTAGTCGCATTAACTGTTGTGCGGTCACAGAATTAAATTCTAGCGCCGAATATTGCTTAACACCTTACTCGGCTTCTGATGGCATTTTATCGGACTGATCTTGCAAGTCCCAAAATCTTTTTTCTGGCAGAGCTCTTGGATCAGGAAAATTTCCCATTTACAATATAGATTACTTCTCGTTAGAAAGATGCAATCTGAAAAAACCGACTATTCGCAATCATGGTGTTACTGAATACGATAACTAATAGCATGGGTTGCACGGTATATGCGAAATTTAGTGAATCAAAAAAGAACTTTCAGATCCACTTTTAAATGAGAAAGGCTACTTAAATGAGTGTGCATAACGGACAACAGATGCCAGTATTCCAAATGAACTTCCACATCACTCCTGCTTTGACTTGACTGAAAAATTTTCTATCTACCTTTGCGAAATACACATATTAACAAATAATATTTATATTGTGTACCTTTTTCTTCACTTTTGCTGCTAACATATCTTCAGTCATGATTAATAGACTAATTAGCCAAAAGTACGTGGAATATTTGAA